AAACTTTTTAGGGTTTTATCCTTCACTTTTCCATTGTATTTCATCTAGTTTCACCATGAATATGGTGAACTAAACTTATTTTGTTGTTGGGGAATAAATGTAAATCCTTAGAAACTCTCTTGTATGGAATTTGTTCTTCAAAATCATCTATATGATACATGCTTTCTTTCATTAATAGTTAGGGTTTTTCCTCTTTACTTAAAGCATGCATTGTTTAACTCATTCGATGTCATGATTATTGGTTTTGTCGATATGGGAACGTACGGGGAAATCTAGATCTAGGGAATCTCTCCCAATAGTATATTACAAACCTAGACATAGGAGTATGATGGTTGGTTGCCTTTAAGCTTCTGTTCACTATAATGCATGATTACTTACTAGGGAGACAAGACATCGTAAACTAGTAATTATGATTAGGCTTTCTTCACTGAGGAATCGGGTTTAAAGTAATTTAGAAAGTGGCATTAACATTAATGGAAAGAATGATGAGTTCCTGAATAGAAGAGAGTGGAAAGGATGAAATTGATAAACCCCAACAACATATTCATCCATATATTTCAATTCACGTGTTTTGTTTCTTCTTGCCCATTGATCATCACATGCATACATATTTACTTTTCAGTCTTTTACATTTGAAACTTACAACAATTTGTTCTCGAGTCTTAATTAATCAATAAATTACATAATAGTCTAGGCCGTGAGTCTCTTGGGAAATGATACTTGGTCTTACCAAGATTATTACTTGATACGATTCGTTATACTTGCCGAGGGGTAAACAGATACACCAAAACAGATGTCACAGTAGCTCAAACACACTGTAGCAAGAATGCACCAAACCAGAATTAACACAAAAAAACACTGATTCAGCAACTTTTTCAGAAAACAATAACCTTAAAATTGGTGGTCTAGGTAGTGAAAATGCAGAGGTTGATTACAAATCAAATTCTCTTTATCTTAACATGTTTAATTAATGAAAATAAACTTGTTTGCACTGCTTTTTGTGATAGATTCACGATATCTCAAAATTTGACTTGTGAAACCTCTTATTCCTTAAAAATAGCCAACTCTACAACCCAACCTTAATATCTCAAAATAGACCTTGGACACTGAAATTAAGTGTAGGAAAGCATTTCAAATATGAGAATCACAATTGAAGCACAGATGCAAAGTTGTTTCCAACTTCAGAAATCAAGTAAAGAATAGGCCAAGATATGAACAAATGCACAGTGATTGTAAGTTTTAAACATCAGTTTGAAGTTGTTGCAGCTTTCAAATATCACAAAAACTTCATGAACCCAGATTAGACCTTAGTATGGGAAATTATGCAGTAAAATAGTCCATGACAGTTTGAATGCACATAAATAACCTACAGTTATAAGGCTTACCATGACCAAACTGAAAAAAAAGAAATGAAAGAGTGATTCTGGAATCACACAGAAATGAAATGGTGCAGCAGATTTAAGTGTTTGAAGTATTTAAGTTAAAGAGAGGTTTGTGGACTGTCATGTATAACAAATCAACAATAAAGAAGCATTGTGATGAGTCAATATTTTCTTGATTTCACTTAGTTTATTGTACCGGATTTAATTCGAGAAATGTGCTTAATTGCCCAGTATTTTCCCATTTTTACTAATTGTGCTTAATTTGATCGGAAATCCTTACTTTAACTAATTTGAATTATCTGAGCTAATTATTTTCATTATTAATTGCAGGGAAAATTTTGGAAATACAAATTGGGACATTTGAAAAAATATTCATCTACACACTATGTTATTTAATTGGAAGAAGTTGCATTGGTTTATTTTGTGTGTTTAAGTGGAAAAAATGGAAAAGATATTTGGTTCATGAAGCTTGGTTTCAGTTTTGTTGCTGGAAACAAAGTAATCCACGGTATTTTTCTTGGCAGCATCTCACGTAAAGAAGAGGGAAGTGGCCACATGGGAAAGAAGGTAACGACCTTTGGGGTCCATCCACCACCAACAAAGTCATTTTCTTCGGAAACGAGAAGCAAGCACGTCCATGATGGCACAAGTTTTATTTAGTTCACATTTCGAGGTGCTTAGGATAGCTAGACTAGCACATGGTGTCAACACCCAATTTCGTCCGGATAAGTAAATATTTAAAATAATAAAGAATAAGAGAATAATAATTAATGGTGGGTAAAAAGGGATAAAATAATAACTTTAATACCAAACACAATATTTTTGAAATGTTAGTTTAATATGGTAATAATTTGAATTAATATTATGCTAATAATTATAAACAATAATTAAAATAGTATATTAATATAATTTGTTGAATCAGTTGCTTTTAAAGAGGAAAATATGATTTTCTGACAATAATGATAATCAATGTTTTGAATATTATTTAATTTGTTTTCTGGCAACCATGACCATTTCTTTCCCTATTTTGTTTTATTGTCAATTAATTCACAATTAAGGCAAAATTTCCATAACATTATAATGTGTGTATATAAATACGCACTCCGCCATAGAAAAGGGGGACGGAAAAAATAGATAGAAGCATGTAGAAATAATAGAAAGGGAGAGGGAGGAGAAATATTTTGAAATAATAGAGATAGCAAGAGTACTGAAGAATGTAGAGAAAAGTAAGCTCTCAGGTTGGAGGAACTCTGCCAAAAGAGATTATCAAGGGAGAACTGGGAGAATACTGAAAGCTAAAAGGTATGTCACCTTTTTCTTCTCTTTTTATTATACTCTGAAGTTTTTTTTCTAAAGGTTTGTTTTTTCCTACACACAAATATTGTTTTCTCTAAAATCATAATTTTTTTTTATAAGTATATGTCGGCCTATGGCCGGTTTCTTTCTTTTTCCCACCATTCTTAAATAAATAAAAAATACAAAAAATCTTCAAAACAAAAAAGAGATGTCAATCTTGTTAAGTCAAATCTTTTTCAGATTCACTTTTCAAAAATCTAAATTAATCAATAATAATTTTCAAACAAACTCACAAACCTTTTTCTACATAAAGAACTACGTGATCCCTGATTGTCCATTATAAATGGATGTACGTAGGACCAAGGTCAATTCTTGACGGGTTCATAAAACAAAAAAATATTTTTTTGTCTCTTAATAGTTGCTTTATATTATTTTTTTAGGGAAAATTAAACATTAAAAAAAAAAACCACATCAACTTTTTTACATTTAATTAAAGGTACTGCCTTTGGGCAGGCGCGATAGGGTGCTAACACCTTCCTTACGCGTAACCCATTCCCGAACCTAAAAATCTACTTTTCGCAGACCATGTCTTATATTTTTGGTTTTCCATAGTTTTTCCATAATAAATTATGGTGGCGACTCCACGACTCTTTTTCTCAAATCCGTTTGTTTTTCGGGTCGCTGTCCCGTCGCGATTTCGGTTGCGACACATGGCGACTCCGTTGGGGACATTAGAGAATCAGGCCTTCTTAATTAAATGTGCAAAATTGATGTGGTTTTTTCTTTATTTTATTTTATTTCATTTTTCCTCTTTATTTATATATGTTTGTCTTTATTTATTTTTGTAATTTATTTATATTCTTTTATATTATTATTATTATTGTGCATATTAATAAAACATGTTGGTTTTTAATCATTATTTTGGCATAGACATCTTCATACATCATATGCGTTAGCAGTATTTTCATCCTTTTTCCTTCATTTTCTTTATACAAAACAATAAATAAATGTGTCATGTTTTTCTTTAAATAAAAGAACAAGAACAAAAATATTATGCTTTAATGAATAAATTAATAAGGAAAAATAAGTACTTTTTAGTGAAATGAATTAATAAAAACTTTCATTTTTTTGAAGCATTTATTAAAAAAAAAAAGTTTTCTTCTTCATCTTTTTCTATAATTCATCCATAAAAAAAAATCAGTTTATAAGGGGCACTATCTAAAAAAAATAAAAAATAAATAAAAAATTGAAAATGAAAAAAACAGGGGCAACTTATCTAAGTTAAGATTTTCAAAAATAAGGCGATCATAATTTAATAGGAAGATATGTTTCTTCATCAAAAAAAAATTATCATTCTTTCTAACCTATTTTGAGTCTTAAAAATAAAAATAAAAATCTTTTTGAACAAGTCAGGTTGACAACATGTTATTTAAGAAAGAATTGTTTTTTGAAAAAAAATCAAAATTTCAAAACACAAGGAAAAAATGAAAATGGAAAACTTAATTTTCATTTCACTGTAACAAGAACTTTTTTTTAAGCCCGTTGGGCCCAATTGATAGTTTTCTTCAAATTCAATTTCTTGAAAAAAAAAAAAACAAACGAATGTGATAAGAGGAAAATAAAAAAATATTTCTCAAAAAGTTTTATCATTTTCATTTCGCCAAAAAAATAAACATAGAAAGGGGAAATCATTACATTTTGAGTAATTTATACATTTTTTGTGACCAAATATTTTAAATAAACAATAGCATTTTCTGTTGAGACATGTGTGTGTGCATGGCATGAAAACACTCATTTTCCAGCCTTCCCCAAAAGAAAGGAGATTGACTCTAACAAACAATAACGTTACCATAGACTAGAGCATATTTGTCTTGCTAAAGTTATTCTCGCTTGTGTTATTTGAGAACTCCCTAACTAGCCATGCAAAGGAAAATCAAACCATTTGGGACAATCCTTTTTCAGTAAACCCTTTCCATACCCGTTCCCTATCATGAACAAAACCCATGCCTAAAAATTGGGGCAGCTTGGACATTCATGGATACATATCTCCATACTTACTTTACCAAACACCAACATCCTTTTGGTGTGTTGTATCTCATATTCACATATTACACGCCAACATGGCTATCCAGTGTCCTTTAAATCCTTACCACTTTCAACTTTTCTGTGATTTCCGTTTATTTTTAGCATGCATCATTTCTGCATTTTCGCATAATTCGTTTTCATCTAATCCAAATTAATAAAAACAGTATAAAGTTTAAGAAAAAAACAACGGCGAAACTTCCACGACATCCTTATAAGACTCGAGCAAACGCCAAAGCTATGGAAGATTGGGAAGAGGAACGTCAAACTGTAAAGGCCGATATTAGTCATCTAAAGGATCAAGTCGGTCAAATTTTAGAAGCGTTGAAAGCCATGAAAACCGCTGGAGAGACTTCGTTTGCAAAGGCTGATCATAATGCTCACACTCCAGTACATGACGTTGTGGGCACACAATTCACATTTCCAATGTATGGTCTACCACCAGGTTACACACCGCCTATCGGAGATCATTCAGAGGCAGAGCATACTTCTTTGGCTTTTCCCGTAACTAGCAATGTACTTCCCATTAGTACCCAGGGGCCTATCCACACAACTGAGGCAAAACTAAATGAAACGTCCAAGTTTCCCCACACAATTGTCGCACAAGATGTTACTTTGCATGCGAGCGTAGAAGGAGCGAAGGATAAACTTGAAGTTCTAGAAGGTAGACTGAGAGCCATAGAAGGGTTTGAAAGTTACGGGTTTGGTGACGCGGCAAGCTTGAGTTTGGCTCAAGGAGTGACCATTCCACACAAGTTTACGGTGCCAGAATTTGAGAAATACAAGGGAAACACATGCCCTAAGAACCATTTGACCATGTATTGTCGAAAAATGGCTGCTTACGCATACGACGATAAACTACTTATTCATTTCTTTCAAGATAGTTTGGCGGAAGCAGCGTTGAGTTGGTGATGGACAAATTTATGAACACCAAAATATGATGTCACAAACTTGTTTTTCAATCGGCAAGTATGACCGAATCGTTCAAGTAATAAACTTGGTAAGACCAAGTATCGTTCTTCCCAAAGGACTCACGGCCTAGTTTAGTTGTGTGGTTTATTGATTAGCTAAGACTTAAAGACGAAATATTTGGATTTT